AACGCCCTAACTTAGGACAAGGTCAGTGACATGCTAATGAGTTAGGAGGGGTGAGACCTGCACTCCACTTGAGCATCCCAGCAGACAATAGGTCTGTGACATGCTAAGGAGTTAGGGTCGTTAGCCTCAGCAGGGTTGTTAGACCTGCTCCCTTCTACATCAAGCAGACCGTAGATTGTTTACGAGTTAGTATCAGGATTAGGGTGTGGCTTACCACACCCATAGGTTATAAATCTCCAACGCGCGGTCCGAGAATTCATTCCCTGAAGAAGTCCCCAGGTTGAGGACGAAACGTCGGGAAAACTTGCTAAGAAGTACAGATGATGGGTGAGAAACCTTCCTTTGCTTTGACTAATCCCTGTACGACTGAGGGCTTACACAAACTTATTTCAGTGTGTTCAAGTGCACAGATAAATGCAAAATTTCTGATCAATCCCACCAGTTGGTCATTCTTGGTCACTATTCTCTCAATGATATCAGCATTATAAGCAGAATATCAGCTTAATATTGGGTTTGATATGCTAATTTTGGCACACAATTGAAAATAAATGACAGAATATACAAATAAAGCAACAAATTACAAAGGTTCGGAGCTTTACAACGAGGTGCAGCATGACTATATCGATGGAGCTGAAGTTGGCTGGATGACTCTGTGAATGTGCCTCAATGGATAGTTTGTATTAGCAAGGCAGAGGGGGACAGAAAATGAAACAGTGGGCCGCATTTGGCCCATGGGCCTTAGTTTCATACCTGATCTGGGGTGAGTTCAGTCAACCTGAATCATAAATTGCTGAATAAATAACAACTTAGGAAGACATTAATCTCAATAAAAATGTTCAAATGAGGTATTGGTATATGTGCCTGAAAAGCTGGATTTTGTTTCGTTTGAGGCACTTCTGATGAAGATGAAACTTGTGGAAGTAAATATCATTTCACAATTAGAATTTAACTTTTCATGTGTTGCATTTTCTCAAGAAAATATTTAGTTAAATTTTACATTGAACATAACAAATGCTGCCGTCAGTGTCTACCAAAGAAATGCCGATTCATCATACTGTACTCCTGGATGCGGCCATATTTCATAAAATTATGGGTTTGGTTTAGCTGTGTAGAACAATGGACACCAATGCTGTCAGTTTTTTTAGTTCTGTTGCAGATTAGGCTCAGAAAACCCATCTCCATTTTTCTATAGCATCTTCAGACCGTGCCAACGCAGCATAATAAAGTAATGGTAGGGTTCCGAAACTTCAGGTCATTAGATTTGTGTGGTCTGGTCTGGTATCGATCGCTCAGCGCTGACTTTGGCCTCTGAAATGCTGAGTGCTGGTCCACCACGAGAGGGCTCACCACATCTGCTGCTGCGGTCAGTGTGAATGAGCACTTATTCAGGACGGGACAATATGCACTCTTGTCTTTTTACTTTTCTCTAATTGTATCAGAGAGAAATGTGGAGAATGTGTCTCACTGTGTAGGAACGACGATTTTAAAATACCTTTATTGTCTAAACGCAAAATAGCAAAAATGTTGGCTGCGTTCGTGGCATTTTAAAAGTAATTAAAGAGACTGTCAGTTCAATTGGAATAATGAACTGGCTTTTCTGGCTATTGACCTACCACCGGTTATACAATATGGCCCTTGCTCAGTCACTGACAACAAATCTTTAAGGTGATATCAGCAACTTAAATTGTATATATTTTTTGCTAACTAAAAGATTGTACATTTCTGACCATGGGACAATGTGCTCTTATGTATCGTTTTCAACAATAATATATTCAAAACAGTCCCTCCCCTTGGCATAAATACAACCTTTAAGAATTGCTGGAGAAGAATAATTAAACCAGTGAAAATTTGAATTAATTTGGACCAATCAGGAGGCTGCAGGGGTGAGCATTGGCGGGGCCAACCAATTCAATGTCGATTCAATTTGTTTTTGTATATAGCCCTAAATCACAACAGCAGTCATCTTGGAGGAGTTTACAAAATGGTCGATTTGTCGTCAACCGAACGTCACAATTCACACACACAGGAAATAAAATAATAACAAACACATGGAACGCATTGGTTCTCATGGAGAGGGATGACCAATGTCCATAAATATTTATAGTTGTCCGTAAATGTCCATAAATATCCTTGAAAGTCCCATGTTTACCAGGTTTTGTGTTAAATGTGGCAGGAGCGCTGGTTTGTACTCTCTTCTCTGTCTGGTGCACATTAAGGTAGTCTTGCACAGTTTTTCCAATGTGGTTTTACTGCAAATGGCAACAAAAAATCATGAATCTTGGCCTTTTTCTCTTCCTCTTCCTTCACAAATTGAAAAGTAGTTGATATTCACTTTAAACATTATATCTACCAACTAACAATAGTGTTCCATTAATAAACTTTGCAGACTGATTTACTTTCCTCTGTTGTTATGTAAGAAAGACCCGGTGAAGTTGAGGATACGAGACATATTTGGATGTTTACATATGTTTATTCCTATGTTACTTATGGCTTGTGGTGGTTTCAATTTCAAGTGTCTGACCTCAAGGAAGAAGGAAGGGGAGTAACACGAGTGCCTTCTGGCTTCTCAAATATTTAAAGTATAGTGGCATGATTCATACAGTACCATAACAGATTTATTGCCTGTTCTTTTGTGCATAGTTTGGCGTTGGGGTTAAAATCAAACCACAGCAACTGAAACATGAAAATAGAGAAAGTACAGTGTGATTTGCAAAAAGTAAAAATACAGCTGGATTTTTTTTTTTTATTTAATATTTTACAACCACAAACAAACACAGAGATTACACAGTGACACTGGCGGGCTGGGCATTATTTAATTACTGGAGAAACATGTGAGCTTGAGAGGTCCACTTTCTGGGTGTTTTTGTGGGAGTTTTATACGGTTTTTTTTCAATTGTATTTATTTGGTATTTTTATGTTTGTCTCATAGTAACATATTAAATAAAAAGAGGAGAAAAATTACCAATTATCCCCATTCCCTGCCTCCCCTCCCACCTTAACCCACCCCCTCCCTCACACACTCCATACACCCATATACACACACAACATATGATCCAAATTTAAAAGAAAATAATTATAATAAAAAATAGCATGTATTATTTTGTTTTCATTTCACCGTTGTCTGTTACTTTGTTGTGATCTTTCCCAAATAAATTCTTCATGTTTGTGGTCGTAAATATACCCAAAGTTGCACTGTACTTTTGCAGCACACTGTATATCGTTCGTTCTATATCTGGGCAATACCTCATGATGGAGTTGTGTCATTGTGTCACTGATCATATGATGTGGAGAGGTCATGTTTGGCGATTGGCCTCATGGGGAAGTTACAACAATGAGGCGTGCGTGAGTTCACAGTTCCTGGAGGTCGGGCTGTGAAGCAGGACCATAAACAGACACTTCCTCCACACGTTGCTGTCCAACAACTTCTGTGTGCGAACCAAAGGAGCTCAACTTACAACCAATAAACATACACAACTGTTGTGTGAGATACCGTGGGTAAAGATGTGTCATTTCTTTTGTGTAATAAGTCACTTCTCACACGAAACATGGACAATTGTACTTTATTGTAAAACCAATAAATCAAGATTTCATTGTTTGCTTGGAATATTCCTTAGTATAAAACATATTTGAGTTATAGGATAGAGGATTATTCTGCTCAAAAACCTAAATTCTCCCATTGGGTATTGAGTCGCCTCTCCTCTCCACAGATTTATGACCTGTGAAGTTACTCTTTAGTGTCCAATGTATAGATTTCAATATTTTAACTGAACATTCTAGAGATAATAGAAGCATTTAGATGGACCCAAGCAAAAAGAAGTCCCTCCACCAGGACTGCTGTGGTGGGTTCAGATGTTACAAACCATATTTCAATTACATTAGGAGACTTTTATTTAGTTAGGGTTAATTGTGCTTTACAAATGACCAAGACATGTTGAATTCAGTCGGCAATATGTGCTTTTGTGGAGGTAGGCCTATTGACAAGTGTGCTTTGAGGAGAAAAAGTTTAGAGCAATCGATAGAGTCAATTCATAACTAATAGTTGTGATTTTTTTGGTAGCAAAAGGTTGCAGTATTGACAAAAAGACATGGGATCGATGGAGGATATGGCATAAACCTTTCATGGTTTAGATTTATTTCCTGTTTTATTTTGTAATTTGTTATCCCTGTGTCTTCTTTGGTTGTACTTCCTGTTTCCTGATTACCTGCCCCGCCCTCATGTGTCTCACCTGTGTCTAGTTAGTCTTGTATTTTAGCCCTGTCTATTCCTTCACTCCCTGTTCTGTCTGTTTCAGTTCTTGTCCTTGTTCCCTGTGTTATTGCTGGATTTGGATTTGTTTTAATTTTTATTAAATCCATTATTTTGCAGTTCTGTGTTTTTGGGCTCATTTAATTTTACCCATGTGACAAATCCAACTTTTTATTTTTGAATAATAAATACATATGATGTTTTTCGAAACAGAAAGAGTCTGTTATGGACAAATCAGACCACAACATGCAGTATTTACTTGTGAGACACTATTTGACACTTCAGGCTGATTGGCAGAGTGAGAGTGTTCCTCTCTTTTTCACTTTTCTGTCTGAAAAAGTTGATCTAAAGATACAAAAAAATACATGCATGTCAAAACTATAGTCATAAATCCAAACTGTTTTGAGTGCAGTCAGCAATTACAGTTGTGTGTGCTGTGGTTTGAAAGTCAGGTACCCCTGCTTTAAAGCCAATCCCTCTGTGAAGCTGCGCCATTCCGTGGATATCTTCCTCTCCGTGTTTTGCGGCCCGCCTCCGTCTCGTCCCACTCATAGCGCGCACTGCCAGAGCGCAGCTTTGACAGCCACTGGCCACTGATCAGCCCACTTTGTCGGGTTTGTGTCTCCGTGCCAGATTGCTAAAACACGCTCCAACTCACACCACAAGCTCAGTCCGTCCACACTTTACAACTTCAAACAAGAAACATCTCCGTTGTTTTTTTTTGACTCTTTTGTCTCGGCTCATTTACTGCACAATGTCCGGAGAAGACGCACCTGCTCAGGAGCAAAACGCCGTGGATCAGAAACAGGAGACCAAACCTGCGGAGGAGCCCAAGTCTGAAGCTCCCAAAACTGAGGCGGCAGAAGCAGATGCAGCTCCAGCAGCCGCCCCGGAGAAGGCCCCTGAGGAGGAGGCTTTCACCTACCGCGCACTGGTGCTCACTGGGTATGGGGGCTATGATAAAGTCAAGCTGCAGGTGAAGAAGGGGAAACCCGCGCTCAAAGCTGGAGAAGTCCAGGTGCGCGTCAAGACATGCGGGCTGAACTTTGCGGACCTGATGGCCAGACAGGGGCTCTACGACCGGATGCCTTCCCCGCCCGTCACCCCGGGGATGGAGTGCGCGGGGGTCGTGGAGGCAGTGGGCGAGGAGGTTACAGACAGAAAAGTAAGCACAAAGCCCCTTCAGCATTAATCATTGAAATGGGGATGATGATATCATTGGGTTTTAGGATGAGCAGCTACAGTTGTTCATCTGGGCATGGGCGTGTCACGCTCTCAGACAGACAATGTACAGCGCTTACACTACATGATACCGATGTTGAATTATCATGTTTATCATAATTAAAAACACATCCAATTCATCATCAGTAGGGGTTTAAATAGTAAACTGTTTAATTCAGTCGCCCCTTCCAGAGAAAGAGGAACACTTGTTACACAACCCTAGGCACAGGGAGACTGGTGTGTGTCAGGAGTGGTTGTGTGAAATTAGTTGAAGTGTCTTATTAGTGTGTTAGTTGATCACAATGTGAAACAGGCGTCGCCCCTCTGGTCTGGTGGCGCCTTTACACACAGTTGCTTAATGCAACTTGGATCAGATCATCAGAGGAAGTTGCCAACATAAAGTGGCTTCTCAGACTGTGTGCAACATAACAGCGTGTTGCAAGTTCAAATGTTTGAATAAACACATAAATCCGTGGGATGAGATCCACCCTCGCAGAATCACAGAGCGCTGCACTTTGATGTGCGGTGCGTCAAGACGGAGGGAGTTGGCCACGAGACAACCGGAAATCTATAATCCGACCCTGAGTATTAAAGCGTCAATATCCATTTTAAAATCACCTTTATATCGTTTGTTTAAAAGCTTCCTTTTAAACGGTGTTACAAAAGGCACTCGGTGAATAGATGGGCTCTTATGTAACTGTAGTCATGGAAACGCTTGGATGAGATGATCAGAGATCTTCTTTTAGGAAATGATGGAGTCTAATGGAGTTTATTTTGAAAGTGCACGCTTGGGCAGCTCTCGTGTCGATGCAGGTCCTTGACACCGGTGACAAAGCGGAGTCACCGACGCCTTTTGTCACCGGGAGCGACGAGCGCACGCGGCAGGGAAGGGCGAGGCGCGCGCTCGGACCGCGTGCTGAGAGCAGCGTGCGCATCTGCGTCTTCTTTGTTGCCAGGTTTGGCCTGTCATGTTCAGACATCACAGAAAGCCACATCTTGAAGACTCTGGGCATATTTGTCCAAGTGAAAGTGGCCATAAAAGAGCGGGCTATTGTTTGGTGACCACGAGGAATGGTGCGGTCAGTCTGTTTGTCCATCTCTGAGTCACGCAGCGAGCTGCCTTCTGATGCCTGCATGGCATCTCCATGACAACGCCAATTGAACTAATGTTACACATGTACAACGGTGACTCATGCTGTGATCACTATGTTCACACTTTAGTATCACACCTCGCTGCTCACGTGGTCTATTTGTGAGCGTGAATGTGGCTCCTGTTGGGAGTGGCACTCCATCATGTGGAGACTGGAGTGGACCCAAGTGTTCTGCAGAGAAAGGAAAGATGTCTGAGAGTATCATTATGATCAAAGTATCCTGTCTGTCTGGTGTGAGGTAGAGTTGATCAGTCATTCATAGAGTTATTGTGACATGAGTATTCTGTCCACTGTATATGACTGTAGTAGGAGGGTCAGACAATAGAGTTCTGCCCTGTGCTTAACAGTAGTGTCATGACGACTGCTTGGTAAAAGAAGTCCATATATGTAAAGGTCAGGTCCATCAGACACGGCACACTGCTGTCACCAGGGCATCACTCCCACGTCGCCTCCAGCCTGAGCCCATAAATTAAGGGCCAATCTCCCTAATGGAGGCAGATCTCTAAGATCTTTTGGCAGCAGTGTTCGCGCTGACCCCGATGGCACAGACCTTTCAGGAAGGCCAATCTCTCTGCCCAGCACACAGTTGCATAAATAAATCATGGGTGTGTCTAATACTCCCACTCGATGAATGCCACTTAATTAGATAATGTAACATAAACAGCGGGTGGTCAAATGTGATTGATATTTATTTCATCATTCAGACGTCTCAATGAACCGTGACTACTGGACAGCCTTTTGGGACACCCATAGAGAACAATGGTGTCTTTGATTCTAGGAAAATCTTTATCAGCCAAAAGATGTCCATCAATTGTGATTATGCTCTTCCTAGGTTTCATAAAAGAGATGACCGATCCATATTCACCGCTTGTCTGATTGTGTCCCTAAAATATGAAGCAGTCTGCAAATACATAAGACTACTCCTATTTGACAAGAAAGATCCAATTTGCATTTATCTTTTGGGCAGTAGCACATTTTGTATTATGACTTGCAATTTTTATATATTAGCATAAAAGAAGTACATGTGACAGGAAACTGAAAACCATGTTAAGGTTAAACATTTTACTATGTTATTTAGATACGTAGTCAAACAGGCAATCTCACAAAGCAGCAGCCGAGTGACCCAACTCTTTGAATCAATCAAATACGTTTATGATAATTTATTACTCACAACATCATTGAAGGGGAAAGAAAAAAACTCTTACATCATATGCTATTACATAATTAAACTATTTTTTTTGTTGTTGCTCTGGCTCAAAGTTTTAGTCAATGTTTTTTAACATTTCAGTCTCTTCACTCTGTCCTGTAACCTGAAATGACCCAATAGTGAAGTGGGGAGTGGAGAAAGGGAGGGGAGTGGGGGGTGGGGGGTGTAGGGGAGGAGAGGAGAGGAAACATCACACTAGTTTACAATAATGCTTTCCATCAGCACTTTTGCCACTGCAGGCTTCTTTCGTTTGGGGAGAGTTGAGTTTGTGAGTCCTGGAGCACCATGACCCATATGTTCTCGATTATACCTCCCCACGACCCACATTGTCAGTCTGGAATTTCCTTTATCCCCGCTTCCTCCCTCTGTTCGCTCATCATGCAGTCATAGCTCATTTATCAAACACAGTTTTAAAGATGGCCGTTACATGCCGCAAAAATGTTGAGTGACCGAAACGTGGTGGAAGGAGGTGGTACGCAAAAGCACGAGGCTTGCACCGTCATAGCTTATATTATAGTAGGACAGTGGTCTCCAACCTGTCGCTAGGGAGCTACCAGTCGCCCACCAGCCTCTTTCAGGTAGCTCCCCAAAGGATTTAGGAATTTGACAAATGATCCCAAATAATTACATTTTGAGTCGTTGCACATCTACTTTTAACTATACGTGTTTTCATGTTCACTAAAGGGTAATAAAGCACATTTTACTGGAGTGTTGTCCATAATTTTCCAGTTTTCTAGACTACAGTTTTATTACTACTGCAAAAAATAGACACTCTTTGCCATTTCTGTTACGTAAAAGTAGTTCTCCAAAAGGGCTTTATTGTCAACTATCCAGGAAACGGTGTGTGCAATGCTAAGTTAAGTCAACATTAGGACATGTGCATGATGTTTTGATTTTCTCTTCTGTTAAGGCGTGACTATCACTTTCGCACACACACAAACCCTCGATTGATTCATGCATGTTTGAGTAATTGTGTGATTACATAATTTCACATTTTATTCTGTCCTGAGCCATAGTCATCTCAATGACATCAACATGAGAGTTTTTCCAAATGAAAATTAGGTGTAATTGAAGAAATCATCACTGGAATGTTCCTACAGGGATGTCTTTCCGTTGCCAGACAGACATTCCTTGCTTTTCTTTATAGATAATAACAAAATTTAAACAATGAATTATTCCTTGTTGATATTGTACAATATTGTATAATATCAGCATTGGTTTTAACTACTATTAAAAATGTAATAAAAAAAATATTTATGTGAAAAAAGTTTGAAATATGAAATAGTTTTGTCCAATATATATCAGTATAATGTATTTATAGACTTATCAGAACTGAGAAATACACACATACTCCTAAAATGTGCTGAAATATAATCTTGCTATTTCCGCCTTGTTTACAACATTTTTCCGATGTGATTACAGCTCAAATCTCCTAAGTGCCCTGAACTTGGCTCTCATGCCTCTCAGCTCTTAAGTCCTTATTCAAATTCATTTGGAGATCCCGCTGTATTGAGTCAGATCGCATTAGCCGAAGATGATGGATGCATTTTGCTGCCGTGGTTTTGATTTGCATAATCGCCTGGTCCCTGGTGTTGTGAGGAACTGGGCGTGGTCTCCATGACCCATTATATAATAAAAGAAATAAGCAGGTTTGATTTCAGAGTTTCATTTAACTCAATACAATAGAATACGTCATTATTCCCATTACATAATGCAATACGAGGTCTCTATAACAAAAATAAAATTATTTTTAAAATGAAACGTATTTCAACTTCAACTTCAATGGGGAAGTCTGAGTGGTTTTCTTGGTTTGGTTCTCTCTTTGGTCTCTGTTAATGTCATGGTTTTGATGTCACCAGGCGAAGTCGTATCTGCGCTGATAAAATACTTGTTATTATAAAGGTTAAATTCCATAGGGCAGTGGCACACCTGCATGTGAAAGCCTGATCCTTGTCAAATCTCAGAAGCTAAGCAGGGCATGGCCTGGTTAGTAGTGTGATGGGAGACCTCTGGGAACACCAGGTGCCACTGTGGGGCGGCTGTAAAGTACCAAACTGTTGTTGTGTAATTGGACAAGACACTTCTATGCCATTGTCTTGAATTAGTCTGGTGTGTGTGTGAATGGTTGGTTGTGGTCAAAGGGGTTGCCTCACTTCTGTCAGTGTGCCCCAGGGCAGCTGTGGCTACAGTTGGTGATTATCTTCACTTTGTAAAGATAGAAAAAAAATTGACATGTGATGTGTCTTTTTGTCCTAAAAAGTTCTATTTGATTCCCAAAGTGCGAATTGCAGGACACTATTATAGCCATGTACTGTACAATAAACAACATTACACAAGATTTCAAGTTTTATTCTGCTTTAAATTTTATTCTGCCTTTAAAGGTCACGAGTCTGGGTTTCGAGAACCCGTGCTATAGGAATCCAAGCACAAAAAAAATAATTCCGTAAATGAACAAGCAGGTGGCTTGTTATGGCACTTATTCAGTCGTTTTGTCTCCTTTTAGTCTCCTCTGATATAAAACCAACAAATTATTGACTCTATCGGAAAATGTATGTCATCATAGTTTATTTCTTGTCCTTTCACCCT